GAAAAAATTATAATAAATTCTGAATTTTATCATTCCAGACTTTATCCAAATAAAGTAGTGAATTATAAAAACGTATAATACTAAAAAATATGTTTATACTGCACTTTATATAAAAAGATAGTTTGCTTTAATTAGTAATTTATATTAGTCACGATAGTTAAAAAAATAATAAAACGAACTAATAACATCTTATTTTAATGACAGTCTTTTTTAATTCAAATTAATATATGAAATATATTTTTTTAAAACAAAGTTGGAGATCATATAAATGTTATTGAATTTTATATTCGTATTTAGTTTTATAAGACAAAAATAGAATTAAAAATTTTTACCAATATAGATCTGGTTCGCGTTTAGTAAAGACAATATTGCCTTATATTCAATATTTTATGACAAACGAATTTGTTACATTGATTTCTATTCTATCTATTAATATTTTATTTTGGATGAAGCTTAAATTGAAAAACACTCTTAATTGACGTTCAACTAGAATAGCGATAGTAGAATACTGAATTAGAATATCAATAAAAAAATTTCTATTCATTTTAGTGCCTTTAATTTAAAAAGACCAATTTTTGTCAATTTTTTCGAAAAATATCATTTTTTATCACTTTATCACTATCCAAAAAGTATGAAATTTTATCAATCTTATTTCGATGTAAATCAGAATATGCAAGAGAAATGACTTAGCAAATTTTTAATGAACAAAATAAAATCTTTTATTAATTGTAATTATATCAATATTACTAAAACTTTAGAAATTCAATAAGGATCTGAGAAAAAAGATTCAATCTAATCAATTTTTAATATAAAAAAATTATTTATCTTTAGCTTTAGAAAACGTTGTTTAAAATCTCAAATATTTTTTAACTTTTATGTTTACATATGTATAACTTTTTCATTTAGTTATTTATATTATAAAATTATCTAATGAAAATATACGATATCTATCTTTAATTTAGTTGGCATAGTATAATCGTGGATATCGCAAGGCAACGAAAATTTAAATTAATCAAGAATGAAAGGAAAGCCGATAGTATTAAAATTTAACGAATTATGTCGACCGATATCTTAATGTGCGCTCTATAAATAAAGAGCTGAGAAAAATGTGCACGTCGTTGTCGTACCGTATTAAACATAACTTTCCACCGGTCGAAGATAAATTCGCAATTAATAATTTAAATCAATATGGTGGAACGAGAACGGAACATTGGGGCGGATATATCTCCCGTGGGTACAGTATAACGTAGCTCGTATCCAGAGCTCTGTACGAGGGCGGAAAAGAGCACAGGAACCCCTCCGGACCAAGATCGAACACGCGAGACGATCCCCTGGGTTCTCCATCGACATAAAAAGAATCACGGGATCGCGGCTGAAGATCAATTTAAAAGCGCGTGTAATCTGCACTGACAGATACTTTTTTTTCTGTATCAACGATACGGCGATACCGATCAACTGGAGACCGACAACATTATACAGTGGAAGTTCTCTTTGAAATATTCGTTGGATTTTATGCACTTCGAACATACAGGAATATTAGATCGTAAATAAATCGCAATAAAATCGGTATTCTTCTCATCGCGTAATGGCATACATATCTATGATTTGAATAAAAACTACACGATTGAAACAACTGTACAATTTTATATCCAGATTATAAATATTTTTATAAAAAACATTTTATATTTGTTATATGTGTTAGAAATAAAAGTCCACGCAAATCCTTGTGAAAATTTTAACGTGTTCAAGTATTAATTTAATATAATGCGATTATTTAAAATATCTGAACTTATTGTACCTATTCAATTTCTAGAATAAAAAGTAACTTGTAAGTAATTTGTGAAGTAATGTCCTAACCCTGGCTATAATATGACCGTATGTTCTACGTGTAGTACAACGGAAATAATTAACGCGGCAATCTCCGCGATTGGAGCTCCACGAAATATCATCCCTGCGATATGACTTTGGAAAAGGATAATTAGAACAAATCGTCGAGCAAGTTGCAAATGCAAAATAGCCATCATGACGTCACTCAGCTTAGACAATAAATCGCTATCACTCGTCCCACACGCACCGGAACAGAACCGAAGCCTGGCGGCATAGTCAACGTTGTCCGCGAAATCGATCGATTGATCGCCGTCGTCATTCGGCCTGTAAACGAACTCCCGCCGACAGGACACGTCGACAAAATTCTCTCGCGGATACACCCGCTACTGCAACCCTCATGGAATGTATCATCATTACGCGGTCCAACGGCTTTCCGTTCAGTCCGCTCCGTTAATTGCGGAGAGAAAGCGTCATGTAATCACGTTTCCAACAATCCCACCTTCAGTAGTAGGACTCATCCAACCGACATCGCAAAAATATCGCGCGATAGGGGTTGATTTCACCGCCAACTATCCCGTATCGAGTGTCTTTGTCCCCGACAAAGAGCTCATACGTACATTTTATGTCATGGGTGATATCTTGCTTTAGGAGCCACGTGAACTTTGCACGTTTTATAATGGTAGAAAAACAACGCAGAGAAGACACATGTTACAGATGAATAATTTTTACATTGGAACAAAAAAATTGATTTTTATATTATACATTTATATATTTTATTAAT